TCACCTGTTGAAACCTGCTGTAAGCTCTCAACGCCGGTCGGCATGGATACTTCAGTCTTCATGGTCAGGTAACGATCACGTCAAATATACAAATGCAAGATAAATGGTCAGTCTTCCATTACACAACCCAGCGTCCTCATAATGACTCATTCACCGCATCCACCTTCACCATTCGCATATCTCGAATTGAGTAACACCCTGCCATCATTAGTTTCAATCGATAGGGATGTATAGGTTTGCTAATGAACTCATTGAATACATGCTTTCCCTGGTGTCTTGCATTGTGTGTAAAATAGTGGATTTACGTGAGTAATCCCGACCAAAGCCGTGTGACACTATCAGAAATAGACCATTATCGCTCACTCACTCACTCACTCACTCACACACACAAACACACACAACGTTTGAATTTCATCCCCGGTTCAGTTACTTTTAGCCAGCATGGATAAAACCGTTTTAGCGGAAAAGATTCTCGGTTGTAAAAGCCAACCTGTTGATGAGGAAAACACGAAGTTGAAAATCTATTTCGAAGCGAAATCGGTCAATGCTCAAACACAGTGCCAACGGGACAAATTGAAGTCACTCATGGATGATTGGAAGAAAGTGCTTGCTGCTCACTTCACTGTTGACCCGGACCAGATTGATTTCAAACGTGAGTTTCATCGACAATTCGTCTCATTACGAAACACTTGATTAGTATTGTCTTGGATATAAACATACTCACATTGTTTACAAGGCACATTTTTTCTTGATAATGACTGTGTAGAAAGACGGGGCTTATAGTCTAAAGGTGGTTCTCGGAGCCAAGACTCACGCCGAGGAGGTGTTCCGCCGATCATACCGTCTGAAAGGCAACCCGGTGCGACTGTTGTGTGATCTGGAGCCGGAGGATCGTTTGAAATTGAAAGCCGCACTTGTGGAGCTTCGCGAACGGCGATCTCAAGGAAAGGATAATTTGATTATTCGGGATTTTCGTGTCGTCCGGAGGAGGCTGCAACTGAAATGGC